GACATCGAAGGATGTCAGGGTCAAACTCTCCTAGAAGTAAACTTTTGGCGCTCCGCGCGGGGTTCTTGGATCTGCGCTAACAGCTGCGCCGGAGGCGCCGCCGGGGGGGCCCCAGCGCGGATCCAGGAAATCCGCGCGGAGCGCCCAAAGTTTATGTTTACGCCGTGCGTCTTCTTCTTCTTCTTCTTCTTCTTCGATGTCCTCCCTGGACCTCTCCTGGGGTGCGTTCTGACCGGGATGTCGAGGAGAACCTCCGGCCGAGGCGACGAGGGTCTTCTCCAGGGCGAGGAGCTCGCCCCCACGCTGACCGTGGCCCTGAGCAGGAGCGGCCCCCGCTGCGCGGCCCAGAGCGCAGGCCGGTGGCACGGTCGGCCCGTATCAGAAGGACGCTCGAGGCGGAGGCAGGCAAAACAAAAAAAACATCTCGAGCCCAGAGCCTCGGCCCCGCCCGCCCTTCCTGCTGGCCGGAGCCAGCGCTGGGCCACCTCGGACCCCAGAGGGATCCCAGATGGGGTCGGAGGATCGCGCCGCATCGCTGATGCATCGCCGATGCAGCGGCGATGCACCGGCGACGCTGACGATTCATCGGCGTGCCGACAGTTTGCGAGCGGGGCGCTTCCAACGAGAGCGGCGAAGGATGGGCCGAGGAGGCAAGGATGCAAGGGTACCCTTGGGAAGGTTGCCCATCCTTGCTGTGCCGGCTGACTGTAGTTCGGGGGTGGACAGACCTCCCCTTAGTAAAACGTGGTTTAGTGAAAACGACCTGAGGCCCAAACCTGGCGGGCGCAAGCCTGGAAAATAACGGCCGCGGCGCCCTCTCGAGAGCCGAAATCGGACAATTCACTCATCGACGTGTCACTGTTGGGGGTTCTGTCCACCCCCGAGTTGTGGGGGCCCCCTGCGGGCCCGCACCAGAGGTCACTCCGGCGAAGGGTCGTCCTTCCCTGAGCTCCGACGGTGCGAAAACAGTGCAGCCTTGCCACCGAATCACGACTGGAGCCCCAGATCCGTCGTCCTGTGCCATTCTTCGAGCCAGGTGGATGAGGGCCCCGAGGCCCGAAACTTTGCGAACAGAAACGCCGGGTGTGCAAAACTTGCAGCGCCCGGATCTGAAGGGGCCCTGGAACACACAAATCCGCCGACCCTGTCGGCGTGTGTGAAGGGCTTCTCCGTTCGACTCGTCGTCTCCGTCGTCTCCGTTCTCCCCCTCCCAGGGCTCTCCTCCTCAAGCGCGCTACCCAAAGCAAAATTAAACGACGTCGCAGTGGAGTAGAAGGGACGCCCCTGCCCTTTGACCCCTTCCCCGCAGGGGGGGGGGCCCGGGGCAGATACGACGCCCGCCGGGGCGCACTTTCCTCGAGCGGGCACGCACGGGATGCACTTCCTCCTCCTCCTGGTCCTCCTCCTCCTCCTTTTCCTCCTCCTCCTCCTCCTCCTGCTCCTCTCCTCCTCCTCCTCCTCCTCCTCCTCCTCCTCCTCCTCCTCCTCCTCCTCCTCCCGCAGAGGCGTCCCGGGAGCGGGCCCCAAGTCAAAATATAGGGCGCATTTTCCTCGAGCGGGCACGCCCGAGATGCACTTCTTCCTCTTCCGGGAGCACGTCCCAAGTCAGAATATCACACTCCCGGGGCGCACTTTCTTTGAGCGGGCACACAAAGGATGCACTTCCTCCTCCTTATCCTCCTCCTCCTCCTCCTCATCCTCCTCCTCCTCCTGCTCCTCCTCCTTCTCCTCCTCCTCCTCCTCCTCCTCCTCATCCTCCGCTTCCTCCCCCCACTCCTAGCCCTTTCGATCAGGGTCGGCGGCACCGGCCGTCAGGCCTCTCCAATAAATAGACACAAATAACAGGATTCCACATATTTTCATTTTTTTTTTTGGTTTTTGTCTCCCCCCCCACTTCCCATATTTTCATATATTTTCTTGGGAATCGACGAATCATTGTGTCTGTGTTTTTCCCCTCCTGAGGATCTCAGGGCGCGTGTTGGAGGCGGCCAGGAGGTCTGAACTGGCTAGGGCCCCAGCATATATCCGTCAGGAGGGGGGGGGGACAAGGCCCACCCCGCTCAGAGTCGGTCCCTGGACCCCTCCCAGGGTCCACGTGGCTCACTCGTTTTTTCACCCTGGATGCGTTCTGGACGGCGCGGCCCCCCTGAGGCGGAAGCAGGCTGAAGAAGACCGTCTCGAGCCAAGGATTGCAAAAAAAGGATTGCAAAACGAAGGATTGCAAAAAAAACCCTTCGAGCGAAGGATTGCAAAACAACCTTCGTTAAAACGAAGGGTTTTTTTTTGCAATCCTTCGTTAAAACGAAGGGTTTTTTTGCAATCCTTCGAGCCTCGACCCCGCCCGCCCCTCCTGCTGGCCGGAGCCAGCGCTGGGCCACCTCGGACCCTGGAGGCCTCCCTGAAGGGGTCGGAGGATCGCGCCGCGTCGCCGATGCATCAACGATGCAGCGGCGATGCATCGGCGACGCCGACGATGCATCGGCGGCGTCGGCTCCGAACA